GGCTTTGTCTTCTTCAGGAACTCACATGTTCTAGAATCTGATAACATTTTAAACTTTGTTTCCTGTCGTATATTCTCTTACTGTGATTTGGTCATGTTCTCTCAGCTATTTTTCATCTGTGGCTGCTATGCTCACCTTCACTATTCTTGTAGATATTCAGACTCATCCAGGGGACTTCATTCCCATCAGATTTTGTCTCCTCACAGAAGTCTTACATGTCATTCCCTGCCTGTAAAGAACAACCCCAGTTACAATGATAACTTTGCATAACCAACTGACATTATAACGTTATGTGAACCTCATCTGAGTTTCTCACGAAAGTATAATTTCCATAAGCGCAGGAATTTCAACCCCTGAATGGTCCCTATTATTCAGAATAGTGACTGCCACATAGAAGTTACTCAATAAATATTGGAGGAATTCATGCGTAGTATATTTATTTACATGTATGTACAACATATTGAAAGACTACATACATTGCTTGCTAAATTGAGTTCAACCACTTTGAATGCATGCACATGCATACAGGTGCATCCTAATTTGTTGGATGTTTAATTAGATAAGTGGCAGTTTAATTGGGAGGGATGAGCAATATAACGGGGTAATGATAAAATGGAGAGATGCAAATGAGTATGAGAAGAGAAACTCAAGCCTAGATGAAAAGAAAGAAATCACATGAAAATATGAAGAGTCATTAGACTAACACTCCAAAAAGACAGTGGTGTGTGGAGAGATGATGAGAAAAATGAAGGAGAAATTTGTAAAGCAATTTATTTTATGGCTATACTTCAGTGAGGATTTTGAGTTCTACCAGTGGCAAAACGGAGCAGACAGGCAGCCAGGTGACTGGAAGATGCTTGTTAAGATGTGTTTATATAGTGGTTTTCTTCCGAGCGCCGCCCCTCCCTAAGACACACTTCCTCAAACGAGTGAGAGAAGGATTGCCGGCAGTGTTAACTAACGTTCTCCCCCAGATTCTTAACAATGATAGTTCCTCAGGCCTGTAAGTCAGATCATGACATCTCTTTAAACTCATACATATCATTTCCCTGGTGCCAGAAGCGGCTGTGTCATGGAAGGATGGCCTACAGCTGTGCCGTCTGCAGCTGAAAAAATAAAGTGCAAACTGTTCCTCCCTTGTCAGGCATTCTCCTTATAACTACACCGTGCTGCCCCGCTTCGTTCGGTTTGTTCAGACAAGTTGGCGCCATCTATTCCTTTTTGTAGAGTACTCTGTTGATAAAGTGCTTGGTCATATTAAAAGTCCTGGAGAGCTCATCAGTGCAAGAGTTTCACTGAAATAGCTGCTTATACAATTTTTCATGGCAAGTCAGCAAAGCTTAACTGTCTCCATTACCAGTGTACAGCTTAACTGAATTGGCCAGGCAGCTCTTCTGGGACTTTTTTGGTTTTCCTTTTTCTTTTTTGTAGCATGCATTATACCAAACATGTTCCATACTTGGATATATTTGTAAATTCATCATTTAAGTCCCGGTATAAACTTTGTAATGGCTTTTCTCCTTTTGCCATTTAAAAGTTATCTTCACAATTAAGTGTCATTTCCTTAAGCTTCGCGAGACTCTTGATGTTACCAAGTGACACCTCCAGAAATGCAAACAAATGTGTGTAATGTGTTAAGGTGACAAAGTACTTTCCTCAGAATGTAAGAAAAGTTGAAAGAAACACCAGTTGGATAAAAATGCTGTGTGGCTGGCTATATGTATACTCACTTCCCAAACGGCCTCCAATACTCATGATTCACTGGCCTTCGCAAAATCACTATTTATTTGAGGCTACAGACTCCTGATCTCTTGCAAATACTAAAATCTGAGTATCATAGTCTTTAGATCTGCAGATTCCACAATATAGCAAATTTCTGCATAACTAAATCCATCTTGTTCCCTGGGATAGTGTAAACAGATATTCCCAAGTTAAATGAAGAAAAGTAGAAAACAGTTAACAATGTAAATGTTAGTAAAAGTAAAACGTTCTACTCTAGGCTAATATACAATAAAATAAAATTATTGAAATACTGTAATATTGAATTTTACCATTGTAGTTGAAATAGGAATTTAATTTGGCTAAATATCCTATTTAATTTACCCAATTTTATATGTATGGCTCAAATGAAATATTTCATCCAAAGCATTTAAAGAATTTGGTTTTAGAAACTAACTATAAACATATTTATGGCCACCGTGTTCTCTCTTGCATGGTAGCCCACCCTCATGTTGTAGGGTGTACTTCTCCTGCATGTACTTGGCCCAAACGTAGTCTGTAGAGTCTGCTTCTTTTTCTACCTTTAATGAAACATTACTACCACTGAAAATTGTATTTAGGTACCCTAAACAAATCCTTAAGATAATTTTTAAGTTAAAGCTTATTGAGAATCATGGGAATGTCTTCTTTAAACATTTAAGTTGGACAAGGTAATAATGGAAACATTTGACACTTTTAGGTAATTTTGATAATTAACTAATAGGTTCTATCTCCAAATAAAAAAATTAAAATTAAAATTTAACATGGAGGGGCTGGGGATTTAGCTTAGTGGTTCTGGCACCTGCTTCGCAAGCACAAGGACCTGAGTTCAATCCCCGGTACCCCCAAAAAATAAATAAATAAAAATTAACATGGAAAATGTTTATTTCAGACAAATCTTTTAGAAGACGGACAATATCTGGATGAGTTGCTTATGTAATCCCAATATTTCTACTATGAACGATGCACTTCACCCTTTTTTATTTCTGATCATCCATTGGAAAAATAGAGCAAAAGTTAAAAAATAACATTCATACTTCTTAACATTGATGGACAAATTAAAGACTGGTCAATAGAGTTTTAGATATTTTAAAATAACTCTTCAGTGTCCTTTCTACAACTGAGGTAAGTTCATGGGAATCACAGAAGAGATTGAGAGAGTTATTATTAGCCCACTTAGCTTTGTACAATTAATATATCGCAGAGGCTATGTAGTTTTGGCATTCCAGCATTAAAGCTTCTTATCATTTCTTTGTAACAATAAGGATCACTATGCATGTCTAAAATTAGATAGCAATTAAATAATAGTAATACACAAACCAGTACTACACTTGTAAGGAAAGCATTAAATTTAATAACATCCAAAGAGCAGTATTAGATCTAATTTCCTATGAGATCCAGACCAATTAATCTTTGGCAGTGAGGAGGAAATTCTATTCATTCATTCATTTATTATTTTCTCAATAAATATTTATGTAGCTGGGCAACCTATGTTCCAGTGCTTCACTCTCTGGTAACTATAGGACTCAGCGGGTGACTTACTATTTCTGAGTCTCTATTTTCTAAACTGTACAGTGGGCAGAAGAGTACTGATGAGTCTATGTGTTTCTGTTGGGGAAAATGAGTAAAGTCAGGTAAAATATTTAGCAGAACTCCTCCTGGCACTGTGAAATTATTTTTTACTAACTTTTTAAATTTTGTAATATGCTTTATCATGCAAAAGAAACTAAAACTATAAAAGCAAAGAATAGAGATATAGTTTGCACCTTTATGAAAAGGGGTCCAGGGATTTAGCTCAGTGGTTCTGCTGCCTGCCTTGCAAGCACAAGACCTGAGTTTGATCCTTGGTACCAAAAAAAAAAAAAAAAAAAAAAAAAAAAAACGTCGCAGAGGAA